CCATCAACTGATGATTGGATAAAGAAGACATGGTATATTTTATACAATGGATTATTACTCAGCCTTAAAAAAAAGACAGCATTGTCCCATTTGCAACATCATGGATGGGCCTTGAGGGCATTATGTTAAGTGAGATAAGCCACACAGAGAAAGACAAGCACCATGTGATTTCACTCATATGTGGAAGATAAACACACAAAGAGAACTGTTTAGTGGTTACCAGGGGGAAGGGGTTGGGGTGTGGGCACAAAATGTGAAGGGGCACACTTATATTGTGACTGACAAATAATAATTTACAACTGAAATTTCACAATCTTGTAAACTATCAATAAAGAAAAAGACCTAGTCAAGTCACTTCTGTCCCCTCCCTAACTTCAGAAGGTTGCCCAGCAAACACAGGTGGCTTCAAAAGTACCATGCACCTCTGTAGAGGGCACCTGCAGGGATTGAGACAAAGACATAGAAAAAAATTTGCTAAATGAAGCAGACCAAAATAGCATTGGTGTTGGAGGCTCAGAAAACTAAACAGACATTGGAAGTACAGCTGACAAAAGTGAAAAAGAACCTACATGCTAAACATAAACCGTGTGACTGCCCACTAAATTACAAGTTTAAATACTATTGAGAGTCTCTTAACACCATAACCAAAAATACCCAGAGAAATATACAAAGAAAGTAAGATCAAAGTAAGATACAAGAAAACCAAAATTTCAATCAACTGATGTCAACGTCAAGATGAATGAGAAGTCAGAATTATCTGACAAGGAATTGAAAATAACTTTCATGAAATGCTTAAACAGTCAATTACAAATTGTCTTGAAACAACTAAAAAAAATAGAAAATAGAGATCGAAGCTGTAAAAAAGAGCTAACAAGAAAGTATTGAAATGAAAAATAAAATCACTAAAACTAAAAACTTGTTGAACGGACTCATGAGTAACAGCATATGACAAAAGATACTTTCTAAACAACTGAGAGAAAATAGACTGAACAGAACTTCAGAGGTCTGTGGGAAACAACGAAAGATATACGTACTGTTAGAATCCCAGGAGAGGAGAAAGAGTGTGGAATTGAAAAAGCATTCAAGGGAATAATGCCTGAAAACTTTTCAAATTTGGCAATAGACATCTATGATTCCAGAAGTTGAGAGAATTTCAAAAAAGAAAAATCAAAATAAGTTGACACCATAGCAGATCATAAATAAATTTCTGAAAACTAAAGATAAAGAAAAATCTTAAAAACTGTTAAAAAGAAATGATGCATTACCTATAAAGGAACACAATTCAAATGACAGAAAATTTCTCATCTGAAATCATGGAGGACAGATGGAAATGACGCAGCACTTTTAAAGTGCTGAAAGAAAAAGTTGTTGAACCCAAATTTTCTGCAAGAAATAAAGACATTCTCAAACAGGAAAATTAAGAGAATTCATTGCTGGCAGAACTACCGTTAAGGAGTGACCAAAGGAAGCTCTCCAAACAAAATGAAAATAACATAAAAGAAGATTGGGAACTTCAGAAAGACTAATAAAATAATGGGTAAAAATAAAAGTAAATATAATAGGCTATCATTTCTTGAGTGTTTATAATCATATTGTAAGGTCAAAGCAAAGGTTACAATGGACGGCACTTAATGTGATACAGGAAGATGTGGACGTTAAGAGGACCTAATTCTGAGTGATAAAATGTTGACACCAGTAAGCTGTGATAAATTATATATATATATATTGTAACACTTATTGCAACCACTAAGAAAAATATACAAAGCAATAAACTCAAAAATATTATAAATAATTCAAAATGGAACTCTAAGAAAACTTTCAAGTTTTCTTTACTTTCCTTTTCTTCTAAGTAACCTAGAGTAAGGCAAGAAAATAGAGGAACAAGAAGCAGAGAGAACAAAGGGAAAATGAATAATAAATTGAAAAAGTTGTCATAAAATGTCAATATTATTGTAAATACAAATGTTCTAAATATATCAATTCTAAGAGATTGGCAGAATGGATTAAAAAAGGCAACATTCTATGAGAAAATCTCTTCAAACATAGCAATATAGGTAGGTTGAATGTGAAAAGATTGAAAAGAAATATCTTGCAAATGTTAATTTTAAAAAATCAGAAATGGCTGTAAAATAAATTAGACTTCAGAGTAAAGAAAATTTACTAGTAAAAAAGATGAGGATTATATAATGATAAAAGAATCAATCCACCAAGATGATGTAGCATTCCCAAATGTGTTTATCTCAATGAACAGAGTTTGAAGATTCAAGTAGCAAAAACTGATAGAGCTGAAGGAGAAACTGAGCCATCCACGATTATGTTGGGACTTCAGCACCTCAGCAGTTTGACAGAACTACTAGACAAAAAAAAGCAAGGATATAGAAGAAGTGAACAACACCATCAACTAACACGAGCATTGTAGAAGAGACACCCAATAACATCAGATTAAGCATTCTTCTCAAGTGGCAATGGAACATTTACCAAAATAATATATATTCTAGGTAAAAAATCTAACCTTAAGAAATTTAAAGAATTGAAATCACACAGAATATGGTCTGAGTCATAATGATAATAACTTCCCTGCAAAGACCTTCCAGGATCTTAACGCTCTCGCTCATGTTATAAAATTGCATTTGTGGCACAATCCAATCAACATTTCCTCCAATCTTACACATAATCAGAGGAATTTTGCAGAAGAATATCAGAAAAGTAAACTCCCTTGTTTCACTTTAAATTCATGATCTCAAACATGATCTTTCATCATAAGCCTTATACATTTTCAGTTAAATTTACTTTTAAGTATTTTCAGCATATTTTTCACTATTGGGAATGAATTCATTCTTTCACTGTTTATTGTAATATAAGGAAAATCTATTGGTTTTTTACATTTCTTATTTAGATAGCTAGCATCGAATTTTCTAAAATAACCCCAGTTGCTTTTAGTTGAATCTTTGATTTTCTAGGTATGCAATAATGTAGATGAAAATAAGTTATTGTATCTCTTATCCAACATAGTGTTGTTTGTATTCTTGGGTGACCGTCACTAGTCAGCATCTCTAAAATAATCCAATACTTACCCATAGTGGAGATAGCACTCTGACCTGAGTTATACTAACTTTAATAATAGCTTCATTAGTGTTTTAACATTTAATGTATTTGTTATTTGCTTTAGGAAAACAGCATTACAATGTCTAAGTACTTTCAACCTTTTCCTAATTTATTTGTCTTTAAAAGAAATGGTCATTTAATGTTATCAAATGTCATTTTGGTGGAGAGTTATGATTTTTTTCTGTTATAATAAAATAAATAATAAAAAACAATATACATAAAATTGAACCATGCATGCATACTTTAAATCAAATATTTTGTTAAGATGTATCATCATTTTGCTATATATTTTGACTTTATAACTAGTGTTTTAATTAAGATTTTTGTGTCTAATGCTTCATTTTATGATATTGTATTAACTCTATGGTTTGGAGATTACATTAAGTTTACTCTTTTTTCTCTATTTTAATATGTTTAGAATTGAGCCATCTATGCATGCCTCTCTGGTTTGCTATATTATTCTTTTGGTATAAGCTTAGATTCAATTTACTAGAATTATATTTAAAATGATTATATCTATACTCTTAAGTCAAATTTATTTACAGTCATATCTTAATAACATTTTCATATGAAATATATGCCACTATCTTTTCTGTAATCTCTAATTCTTTGAATGTTGAACTGATCATCTGTTCTCTGAAGGTTAACACTTGTCTTTTGTATTTGACCCTTTTTCCAGTATTATTGCATTATTCAAATTTTCTACCTCATTGCAATGGAATTTGATAAATCATAATTTTCTTAAAATGATCTATATTATTTCTTAAATTTATCCATAGAGTTACCTGTGTTATGACTATAAGGTTTTGGCCTAAAGGATTGCTTTTTTAATATTTTCTCATGTGAATTCTTTCATTCTAAACCTTGGAAACTTTCTTTTTTCATAGCCTCACTTTTTTTTTCTGATTTCTTCTTTCCTTCTTTTTTTTTTAAATTTTTTCATTTATTTGGTTTTTTTTGAGGAAGATTAGCCCTGAGCTAACTGCTGCCAATCCTCCTCTTTTGCTGAGGAAGATGGGCCCTGAGCCAACATCTGTGCCCATCTTCCTCTACTTTATATGTGGGATGCCTACCACAGCATGGCGTTCCAAGCAGTGCCATGTCCCCATCTAGGATCCAAACTGGGAACCCCGAGCCCCTGAAATGGAACGTGTGCACTTAACCACTGTGCCACTGGGCTGGCCTCTCCTTCATTTTTTTTTTATTTTCCATTTCAACTCCTATTATTTGATAATGGAGTTCTCCTCCATGTCCCATTTATTACTTATGATTTCCATATTCTGGGATCTTTTTCCTTGGAACTATGGTAGATATCTTCCACTGGGTCCCGGCAAATACTAATGCAGTTCACTGGTGGTCATCTTTTTCTTTTTTTGTTAAAGTTTTAACCCGGGGGAGGGATGGAGAGTGTATTAATCTGCTTTGTTATTAGCACTGCCAAGTCAATTCTGAACCTGTAAACAGCAGAGCAGAACCCTGCCCAGTCTTTCTGCTCTACCCTCTCACCTTCCTACACTATATCAGACAACGTTTCACTGTTAATCATAGGGTTTTCATGGCCAATTTTTTTGAAAGGCATGTCCCAGTCCTTCTTCCTAGTCTGTCTTCTGGAAGCTCCATTGAAACCTGTCCACCATGGGTGTTCCTGCTGGCAATTGAATTACTGATGGCATAGCTTTCAGTGTCACAGCAACATACAGCCACCACAGTATTTCCCCCCACAGATGGATGGTGTGGTTAACCAACCAGGAAACAAACACAGGCTATGGTAGTGAGAGTGCTGAATCTTAACCACTAGACCACCAGGGCTGGCCACATTACTGTGCTAGGACGGCCAGAACAAAATACCATAGACTGTCTGACTTGAACAACAGAAATTTTGTTTATTTTCTCACATGTCTGGAGGCTAGAAGGTCAAATCAAGGTACCATCAGGTTTAGTTTCTGGTGACTTCTCACCAAGTCTTCACATGGGTTTTCTTCCTGTGTACAAGAATTGAGGTAGAGTGAGATCTCTAATGTCTCTTCTCATATGGAAAATAACCTTAGGGATTAGGGCCTCACCCTTGTAGCCTCATTTAACCTTAAATACCCCGTTAAAGGTCCTACCTACAAATACCATCACATTAGGGGTGGAGGCTTCCACACTTTAGGGGAGGACAGACTTCAGTGTATAGCAGGGGGCTACAATAGTTTACTGAGGAGGTGAATCTAAAAAGCAAATGTGAGGGAGCTTGGAGAGAAAGAAAGGAAAAGAAAAAAAATCAATACTAAGGTGTATTTATTAGCATTGGTACTATAACTAACAGAGTTAATTCTTCCAGGAGTCCTGAGGTGATGCTGAATTCCTTCCTAAAAAATCTCTGTGAAGCAGACACTGTCAAACTACAATCTGTGGGTAAGGTTGCAAAATAAAATACAAGATACTCAGTTAACTTTGATCTTCATATAAATAACAAATAACCAATTAGGACACACTTATGCTAAAAAAAAATTAATTGCTATTTATCTGAAATTCCAATGTAAGTAAGTGTCCTGCATTTTTATATATAAATATGGCAACCCTACCCATTGGCCACATTTAGCCAATGGCCTGTTTTTGTAGATAAAGCATTAAGTTTTATTGGAACAAAGCCACATTCATTCATTTGTGTATTGTGTATGGCTGTTTTTGCACTGCAGTGGTATTATTGAGTAATCACAACAAAGACTGTAAGCCAGCAAAGGCTAAAATATTTGCTAACTGTCTGTTAACTGAAAAAGTTTGTAGACCCAGGGTTTAAAGAACAAGAAGCCCATCTCCCATTAGTTGAAGTTGGTTTTATGAGCTTAATCCTCCCGCCCCTCCACTGCTCTTCCAGGTCTATGTGCCTGCAGGAGGATTAAGATGTGCTCAGTATTGGACAAGCAAAAATGTTGAAAGGTAAATAGCTTGTCTGAGCTGACAGACTCTCTACCATAGCTGTGGATGAAATCAGAAGTGTGGTACACCAAAGGCATGTGCTGCCACAAGATGGCAAAGCAAGAAGACTGACGATAGTCATTGATAACTGCTGCTGGACTTCCTGTTGAATGGGACAACTCAACTATTTCTTTAAGCAATTGTGGTAGGTTTTTTATTCGTTAAGTTTGAGTATAATCCTAACTGATACACATATGAACATTCTTTAAAAACTGCAAAACATAATTTGAGCACTCCTGCCCTAAAAGGAAAATTAGTAAGTGCAGGTTTACCAATAGTCCTAGTATCACTTCTCCATCTTTTATAATCTCCAACGAGGCTCTTGATTCTGACTCCTGTAGTTTATGGCAATGTGATTTTCTATAGGACGTCAGAATTTATGATTTCAGAAACTTTTATGTGAATATTAATGACATCTGCTTAACAATTCTCATTATATTTGATATTAATGGCCTGTTTGCACAATTAAATCTTTGCCTATTTATGTCAGTGGACATGCAGGTTAGACTTTTGGGGATTCTGAAATAAAAGGCAGTTGAAGTTAGAGGGGTAGATTTTTTTTTCCCTGAGTTCCCACAGCATGCCATGGATTGACATCCTCTGACTTTTCAGGAGAAGGATGTAGGATACTGCATGCTCAAGAGCAAGGAGCGTCTCTGAGTCAAAAACAACCAGCTGATCTCTCACAAAGCTGCACCCAATAATCAGAGGGGATCTCTTTCCCTTTCTTAATGGGATTTCCTTAAGTCAATTATACTCCCCTCCTCTGACCATATGCATAAACAGAAGTGATGCTAAGATTGCTGCAGATGATGTCACCTCACACCTGGAAAAATCCTCAGGCCTCTGATATGTCCAAAGTCTCCTTTAGACTACTACTACAGTCCAAAAGTAGACACGAGCTGTTTTAGTGATGTATTTCCCTGAGCAGTGTATTGGATATAACAAAAATCAAAGGGCCTGGCACATAGTAGGTTTTCAACAAAGATTCAATAAGTGGAACAAAAATTTATAAAGTAATTTTGGCTTCACTAAAGTCACAAAAATAAACTGTTAAGTTGTATTATGTTGTTTTATTTAAGTGTATATCTTAACTCGTTTTTTTTCTCATTCATAGAACTTTTTTTACAATATAAATCTTGATTATTTAGAGTATCATTTTATAACGCTGAAAATTCTTTTTTCCATTTTTCTTTGCTACTATCGTTTTTAGACAACATCAAATCAATTCCAATTCCACAGGGAATTATTGCCAAGGACAGCAAATGTATGTTGCTCTTGACTACATCAGCCTTTGATCTGTCCTCTGAAATACCAGAAAATAACCTGTCCTGTATTTTGTAACATTTCTTCATTCTCCTGAAGGCAGCTTGATTTTATTCAGCATATCAAATCAAATAAATAACAGTGCCGTAATATTTTTTTAAATTAAAAAAATGCTCTATTTTGCTTCAATGCCTTTGAACAGAGTTCTGTTTAGTGAGTACACCATATTGACTCTAGCATTTGAAGACAGAAAACTCTGCAAGGCAGAGTTGTGTGACCCGTGGGAGGCTAACTCATCATAGTCTAGAATCTCATCTGGTGCAAATATTTAGTATACTGTCTCATGCAGTTGGGACGTGATCAGTGAAATGCACACTGACTCATCATTTAAACTGTAGCTTTGGGAACATCCAAGGCAGAGGCAAGGTAATTAGTGTTTATCAAGGGAAATTATTTATGAGGTACTAAAACTAAACATTTTAAATATATCCTCATTTGATTTTTATAATTCCTTAGTGAATTTTTCTTGTTAAAATCATGATTCCTAATTTAAGTTACTTTAGCTTTAAAATAAGCTTTGCAGTAACTTACTCCTAAATCTTACATAAGTGAATATGTTAATTGTAGAGTTATCAAAAATAACAAACTAATAAAAATGAAGTATTTAAAAGTAAACTTCATTAAAAACCGACCTTTAAATAACATCTATATGTGCGAATACACCTACCTATCTATCTATCTGTCATCTATCCATCTGTCTATGTTGATATTCTGTATAGAATCCTAATATAATGTGGAGGGAGGGGTCCAGATCTCCTGCCTTTAATTTGGTCATTACTCTGGTTTTTTTGGCAATTTATGAGTGTCTTGAGAGATTTTCATAAAAGGTAAAGACATTTAGAATATGAGAATATTAAAGGGAATTTAAGGAAAATTATTTTAATGGGCCTTGGTAAAATTGTCTTCATAGGTAGTAAAAGTTTAAGTTCTGAAATTATCCTAATTTAGAATGGAAAAGTATTTTGCTTGTATTGACTGCCACCTTGGTGCCCTCCAAGCATATTGTCAGTAGGCTACAGGATGCCTGCACAACTCTGCTCCTGCCATTCGAAACACTTTTATTTTGGTACCATGAGTCAGTCAGCTGTATTTGTCTCCAAACCTGTTTATTGCGGTGTAGCTTGTTATTGTGATTACCTAACATAATATTGAAAAAATACATAAATTGTTGAAATACTTATGCCAAAATATAGAATTGGGCCTATGAAATCTATGAATGTTTGGATAGACATAACAGAGGTGAGTTGTCAAGCAAAATGTTATCCAAACTAAAGTAAGATAACTGTAGAAGTTTGAGAAACTCATGAAAATATATTAAAAAAACTGTACTCAGATTATTGCTTTTCAAGAATCTAAGTATTGTTATGCTTTAAAAACCCTGAAAATGGAAATGTGGTATATAAAATGCAAACCAGGTACCATTTACGCAAGGAATTAAAAAAGAGGATAAGACCCTAATCAGCAAGCCCATATTAAAGAAAATACCTTGGCCTTACTTCAAAAGATTGAAAAGTAAGTACACAATTATAATTTGGTGTTAATTAATATATTTGGGAGAATATGTCATTAAAAAAATCCCCTTTTTAACCGGTGTTCTCAATTAATCAATGACTCTGGTTCCTGTACTACTGTGTGTGTCTTTCAGACACTGTTCAAAATGTAAAAAATGACTGAGTTCTGTTCAGAAAATAAGAAAACTACCTAAGTTCTCAGAGACCAGCATCAGAAATCTACTTGTATGGTGGAGAACATTATTAGCAATGGAGTAAGAGTGAATATCTACCCGTTCGTAAATATCTCTCCCATGCAGGTAACACAGAGTCTAGAATTCTACCATTTGAGACATACATCTTAGTTGAACCACCCACTTGACTTAGAGGTTTTACATATTTTTTTAAACTCATTATAAACACCTTCTGCAACCTCTGGTTAAGGTTGTGGCCTCTTATTAAATGTGTACATGACTTAATATACACTTTCTATAAAAGAACATTAGTGTAATTTGAGCACTACTTTATGTAAATCTGTAGTGAATACCTATCTTCTTTGTTAGATTATGAACTCTATGTGAAAATGGCCTTTTGTTCTATAGAATCTGCAAAACCTAGCACAGTTCCTGAGGAATAGATGAATGACTATATTCCTGTTAATACTCCCCCAAATCGTATGGTGATTTATAAATAAGAACTGAGGCTTAAAGCAATAACTTGTTCAGGATCGCAACGATAAAGATCTCATTATGAAATGGGCTTGTGTAAAACCCAAACACACGCTTTCTCCACTATATTAAGAAACATTATCTTACTCTGTCTTGAAATACAATGCTTGGGAAGAATATTTTGTTCATTAAATTCTCTAGAGTAAATTAGTTTGGCGGATGACCTTTTCTTGACCAGCAAGATCAAATCAGTAGGAACACTTTGAGCTCATTGGAAAGATATCGAAACCATAAAAATATTTTTAAAAGTATCAGGAGACAGTAAAGATAAATCTGTCTCCACCCCAGCTTTGCCTGGAGTTAATGCTGTGGTTTAATTAATCTGAAATTCCCCCAAGAAATTCCCATTAGAAAAGTAATGACAATTATAGAATTGGAGAGAAGTAAGAAGAGTTCCGATAGCTCTTCACACACCAAAACTTAATATTTACACTTTTCAAAATATTCACATAAAAATGTATATACAAGTTTAATTATGCGAAGGATAATCATTGAAACAAAAACTGTGGCATAAGCTTGAAAAACATACAGCAGCACACTTAAAACAAATATTTACCTTACATAAAAGTTTCTTTTGACTCTGGAAAGTGCCAAATTCTTGATGGGTGGAAATTCTCTTAAGATTTTCCACTCTGAATCAGAATTAAAACAATTTTTTCTGTATATTCTTTAAATTATATATACAGTACATATGTACTGTACTTATAACTGTTCTGAGCTTCAAAATTGGCTGAGAAAAGAAAGAATATCTAGTCATCAAGCCATAATTTATCTTTAGAGCTAAGAACTCTTAGAAAGAAAAAACTTTGTGATTGTTTGTATGGTTTGTACTACTCTAAAGACAAATTATGAAAAAGAGATTATTTGATATTGAAACTTCTGGTAATGCCACATTCATTGATAACTATTGGGTTCTAGAAGAAATTAATTCTTCAACATGGAGTATACCAAATTCAGAACTCTATCTAAAGATAACTATTTTTGTGTGTGTGAGGAAGATTAGCCCTGAGCTTACATCTGTTGCCAATCTTCCTCTTTGTGCTTGAGGAAAATTGTCACTGATCTAACATCTGTGCCAATCTTTCCCTATTTTGTATGTGGGACATTGCCACAACATGGCTGGATGAATGATGTATAGGTCCATGCCCCAGATATGAACCCATGAACCCTGCGCTGCCAAAGCAGAGCACGTAAACTTAACCACATGCCACCAGACTGGCTCCTATATCCACAGGTAATGTTTGGTGGAATTTTATAGCAATTCAAACAAGTTATAGTAAGAGTTCAGTGTTTCATGTTTTCCTGAAATGATTTCTATGCTACTGATTTTAGCAATACCTCTACTATTTCTTTGATCCTCCTACATAAATACTTGAGGAAATGTGTTCATTCAAATACATCCTGAATGATTACTTGAAAAACAACTACAGGCTCTGAAACAAAAGTCAATATGACCCATTCCTAACTTGTGTGGACCATCCCACCAAATCTTTTTCTCCATGTGCTGTTCTAAAAACAAAACCAAACTTATAGATGGCTATTCTTTGCAGAGAAAAAAAGGTCCCTATTTTTCAATATGTATTCTGTACTAGCTCATAAATATTTTATGTTATCATATCTTGCCACCTTTTTATGCACAGTTTATGATTTCCACTGACAGTGGGTCATATTATGAACATATAAATAAAAACTGTTCCATTACACTCTACAATTCTATTTTCAGCACAATTATAACTATTGTTTGGTAAACTCAGGAAAAGACTTTCTTTACTTCAAGGGCAGACTCATTTGGATCTTACACTCTACACTAATAAATCTTGCATGTCCTCCTTCATACTTAAACTCATCTCTTCTGTCTTTCAAATTTCTGTATGTTTTGCAGAAGCTCAAAGATTTCCAGAGTTAAACCTTAGTGAAAAAATTCAAGGGAAGAAACTTGAACTATTCTAATTTAAAAACTTTGCTGAAATCCTCCACTGGATATTGGCATGGATAGAAATTTGAATCCTACTCTTGGACTTTGGCAATTTCTAGCTATACGAACTTGGAAAGGCAACACGTCTTACTTTAGGATGCCAACAAAGTACCATATACTGGGTGGTTTATAAACAAAAGAAATTTATTTCTCACAGTTCTGGAGTCTGGAAGTCTGAGATCATGGTGCCAGCATGGTCCAGTGTTGGTGTGAGCTCTCTTCTGGTGACTTCTCATTGTATCCTCACGTAGTGGTAAGAGAACTAGCTGGTTTTCTGGCCTCTTCTTACAAGGGCACTAATCCTATTCATAAGGGCTCTACCCTCATGACCTAATTACCTCCCAAAGATCTCACCTGTCAATACCATTACATTGAGATTAGAGTTTCAACATATGAATTTTGAGAGAACATAAAACTTCAGTCCATTGCACAACATAACTAACTTGTACTTCAGTGTAAAGATTAAAAATGGTAAAATAAATTACAGTGTAGTTTTTAGTACTTACTTGGCTGGGGATCTTTTGTCTTTAAAAAAGTCTTGTTATTCCAGGAATTATTTCTTATATTTAGGTAATGGTAATTAGGATAATAATTTACAGTGCCATATGACTTTCCACATTTCAAAATAACTTACATGTATTAGTTCTTTTGACTCATCACAAATATATGAGAAAGGCACATGTCCATTTTGGAGAATGAGAAAGCAGGGTCCATAAAGAAAAACTGACACACTAAGGAGGGATTCTGAAAAACAAAATATGTGATCTTAATGTTAATTCAGATTTTTTATGCTTTACCTTTATTTAAAGGTATCAATGGGTAAGGGCAGAAAAAAACGTCTTATCCTGGTAGAACACTATACTTCCATAAGCGCAAAAGCAGAATTTCACCTCTTCTCCAATATGCCACCAAAACCGACCCTAATGCTGTCCAAAAAGACTTTCTAAATACCACGTCCAGCAAAAAAATTTCAGTCCTCGCACTGCTGAATTTCAGTGCACCTTGAACACCAAGTGGCACCCTCTTCTTGTCAATTCTTTCTTCCCTGGACTGATTGGACAGCCCAATCCAATGGTCTTTCTCTTTGCTCACTAATCTTTCCCTTTTTGTTTCCTTTATACCCCTTTCTATCTCTGTTCCCTTTTGAAATGTTAACATTATCTCAGTGCTTTCATCTTCTTCCTTTCACCACCACCCACCCCAGAGATCTTAAAGACACTCATGATTTCAGTAAATATCTAGACAAAACTCAAAAATCATTTTATTCAACCATATATAGCCCTAAACCCCAAACCTCTATAAAATATATAAATAAATGAAAATCAAAACACATAAGCAAAAGCCTTTCCTTTTCCTTTCTGTCTCTCAGGTCATGCTCTCATTATCCTCTCAGGTCACACAAAGTAGAATCCTGGGTTTCATGTGAGGCTCTTATTTCTTCCACATCTTTCACTGAATCCGCACAAAGTTCTATCCATCTTTCTATCTTGTTTTTCACTTTTTAATCTAATTGTCAATGAATTTTCGGGGACCTTAACAATTATTGCCTTGGTTTCTGGAAAATCCTTCTGATTCATCTGTTTACAATCATCTTCAAATTTTTCAAGTTCATCTTCGAAGCTTTTGCCAAAATGACCTTTCTACAAAGCTATAATCAGATTTCTTTGTGGTTTAGCATTGTTTGATGACTCTTCGTCATCTTCAGATTAAAACCCAAAGTCTTATGTGGAACATGGGCTTTTTAAGATTTGACCACAGTGTACTTTCATCTTAGTCTACCATCTCTAAACTTTTCACTACATGTGCTGAATGTCTTGTAAGTCCTTAAAGAGACCACATTTTTTCACATCATAATATCTTCATGCATGGTACTTTCTCCAGGAGTTAGTAATCAAACCCCACTGATACCTTCTCCATCTTCAAAACTCAACCTATTTCACCTCTTCTAAGCAAGCTTCCCTGAACTTCTCATGAAACCTTCTCTTCTGGGTTTACCTAAATCTTAGTGAAGACTGTATGAAAGAACCTTAGGCAGGACCTAGGCAGAACCTCAGCTTAGCCCTACCATGAAGCCAGATCTATGTGGAATTTTAGGTTTGACTTCACTTGGCCTTACAGAAACTATTCAAGAGTGGGATAATGTAGTTTGGTATCAGACAGTAGTGAGCTGGCCAGGCTTTTAGCACTTTGCTATTTAAAATTCCATTTGAATGATGAATTTGTTCTAAATTAGATAGCACAGATCATTACACAACTCTGTGAATATGCTAAAAGCCACCTGACTGTACATTTCAAAGAGCAAATTGATGGTATGTAAATTATATCTCACAAAAACTGTTATTAAAAATATATATGGCCTCAGGCCTTATTTCAGACCTGCTGAGTATTATTACAAGGTCTTCAGATTGTTTGCATAAATACATAGATATATACACGCACACAAGTATATTGGGAAGTATTATAAAGAATGGTAGGGGATCTCAAACCTCTTAGGTGGAATCATTAACAACTGCCGACCCTTATAAGGCTCTAATAATCTAATAATCAGGGATGTTTGCTCCGCAACTAGGATCTATGCTTTGCATGATTATCTCTATACAGATGAGTGTTCATATTCTTTGATATCCAGAATTCTTCAACTGTATCCATTGGTGATTTCCACTAGTCACATTCTTTTCCTTTTGTGATAAATCCATATAATATAAATTATCACACATTTACTATAGTGAAATAACTCTTTCTCCAAATAAAATAAGATTTCATTAGGAATGTTAACTGTCATTTTTATCTTTCATTTCTAGAATCTAGCACAGTAACATCATGCTCCCTACAAGTTGTAAAATGATAAAACTATTTGTCAATGTATCATGATTGTGTTAGTCCAGGTCCTCTGAGAAGCAAATGCCAAGATGGGATTAAACATGCAAGATTTTTATTAGGAGAAATGTCTGAGAAGTTTACACGGGCCCAGGAAGTCTGGTCCAACAGACAGTGATGCTAGGCTGACTCTAAGAGAAGAAGAGAGGAGAGGCTAGGTAGAAGTTTCCTAACTTGTTACTCAGGCTGAGGAAAGTTCTGCAAGGCAACTGGGAAGTCCTCAAACGTAGGTCAGCCATCAGAGGAATCCTATAGCTTCGAGAAATGGATCTGCCTGCTATGATCCCTACCACAGTCCACAACAGCTGAGAGTAGCCCATAGGAGCAAACAGAAAGGTAGAATTCAGAGCAGAGCAGATGGAGCCATATATCAGTTATGCTCCCTAAAGTCAGTTATCTGAGAGGCATTTTCATTGTTGTCACAATGGTTTCCATAAAACTGCCAATTTTTAATTATTTAGATTGCTAACAACTTGTTCATCGATTGCAATAAGCATCTTGTATAGGTGTTTGTATTTCTCTTCATTTGACATTGATTCCTTATTACTCATGAAGGGCTTTCTTTGTCTTTCTGTAGAGGACAGAATACTTAACCAGGTGGACGGGTGTCTACCATTAGAAAGCTGAAGGGTTTAAAATGATAAATGTATGCAGGCAATTTATTAATTAGAATTGTGTTAATTAACACAACAAGGAATAATTGCTTTGTGATATTTTCCTTACAGGGGAAAAAAGGATATAAGAGTTTTATATCTAGACTTGGAGTTCTCATGTGACATATTTTATGTTTTGTCATTGCTGTTGGTCTCTTGGCTGAGTTCCTGCCATACTGTACATTTTACTCAAATTAAATTTTACATTTTGATTAAAATTATACTAAGCTTCCAGAGGCCATTAAACAGCAGATAAATTTCAAAATTAAAAAAAGTTATCGTTTGTTATCCTTCTAATGGATTGCCTATACTTTGATTTCCCCTCAACCATTCTTCAGCCAGAGTACACTCACGGAAGTCAAAAATATCACTTTAAGTAAAATATACTTAACAAGATAAATATATAATCTACTCTTTCTCTAACTGTAAATTAAGAAAGATAAATATTTCTTATTACAAACTTTTTTGATTATCCATGCCACTGTTTTAATTTACACTTATGAAGAACTAAAAATTCATTTTGAAAAAAAATATTA